TGTTTGCTTACTAATAGATGGCCAACGGGGAATAAAGGCTTGCATTAAACGAACGAAGGGCGCCGTCTCAGCCAGGTGGTATGGTGCATTAGCGAAACTGACGTACCTGGCCATGTGGGTCACCGCCCTGTTCCATTCTGAGGTCCTAGGGTGCCATGTCTCCAGGTAGGTTTCCAACGATGTACCTAATTTCATCTGTTGGTTGCCCATAGGATTACTAAGTTTGTCTCGAGGTGCCTTAATACTGAAAACGCTATATTTCTCTTTCAAATAGTTTGAGGGCCCCGTCCAACTGGCACTGTTTGAGTTCTTCTTTCCCGGGTTGTATGACAACACTTTGTATGTCTTGGTAATGCCCCTCCCGTAACACAACCAGCAAACAACAATAATGGAACGTGGTCTCTTGTCGGGCCCTTGCACCTCGTCTACAGTAACCCCTCTCTACACCATTCCTGGTGGCCTGGATCCCCTTTGCGGTGGCGTTGTTTGCGGCGTGTCCTCGGCGACCCTTCCTCCAAGGTCACCACCATGCGCGTGGACTGCTTTGCTTCAGTTAGTGTTTGCTGTTGCTTGTGTGGAGTCCGCACATCAGCAACCCTGGCAAGCGGTTCGGGGGTGGTCAGACGCCTTCTCTTGGCCCTGCGCTGTGGCTTATCCTCCACCATAACGACACTCGGACTTGGCGATGCACCTTTAAGCGAATCAGTGTCCGCGGAGCTGAACGCACCCCTCCCAACAGGAACATCATCTGCGTCTGGGACTCCTCGCTCAGCAACAAATGCTGCGAGGTCAGCACCACCATCGCTGCCAATAGAGCCTGGCGCAGATGTCCATTGCGTAAATAACCGAGGCAACATATATTCGACAATGGTTTTCAGATGTTACAAGGAGATGTTACATGCACACTTCCTTCTGTGAAATAAAGGCAGAAAAGCGTCTCACAACCATGGATTGTTCAGCAAATGTCACCTTCCTCGCCGGTGGCAGGCGGTACTTGAACTTCACCTCACAATCAGATTGTTTTGTTAAAAAAAACTAATCGGAGGAAGTCTCCGTGTCACTCCCTGTTAGGAGGCCGGAGTCCATGATATTGAACTCCCACCCAACCTGTGAAAAAAAATCGTCTTCAAGGAGTCTTTCTTCCAGGCGTCTTAGCGATGGTTCAGTTGTTCTATATTTTCTACTAATAGACTTGTACCCCACCATGTGTTCCCCCCGGTGCAGCACCAAATCTATGATAGCCGCGCACTGACGTGTTCTATAAGCAGCCCGGCGATTCATATCTACTTGTTTGCGTTCCTGCCTGCGACGCTTGTGCCATTCTCCCCAAGACTGGGGGGGTTCTGTCTCTCGTGTTCTTCCTTTCGCAACCGTGCCCTTTCTGCCCCCCCCTAATGCATTATTAATGTATCCGCTTATGGCGGCTAATCGGGCCTGGTCCTTGGGGGCGAGGTGGTCCTGTATGGGCCGCCACACCCCCGAGGGCAGGCCACCCAACCCCGCTTCTTGTATTTCCTATAATCTATCTGTTAGAGCTTCCCTATCACGCTCAGCTTCCCGATCGCGCGCAGCTTCTATCCGCCGCCTGACTTTCACCCCTGCACGTCTCCTTCCCCCTTTCCTGTTGTGTCTGTGCCGGCGCTTTCGACCATCCTTGTAACGTTGGCCCCTGTTCAGGGGCCGCTTCCGACCTAACACAGGAACAGAATACGGTGTTTCCCCAGCCAGGTGACGGCAGGTACTGCCACATACTGGTGGTGGCACCGAAGCAAAGACAATAGGTATTGTAGAGAAATGTAGCACGCCCTGTACAATGCACGGCCCCCTAAAGGGACGAAGTGTTGAGGTTTCCCCAGCCAGGTGACGGCAGGTACTGCCACAAAGTGGTCATGCCGCATAAGGAAAAACAGGCGATGGGTACTGCAGGGATATACAGCACACCCTGTACAGTGTGCAGCCAAATAAAAGTAACAAAGTGGTAAGACTTCCCCAGCCAGGTGGCGGCGGGTACTGCCAAATAATGTTGGTGGCATGTAAGCAAAGACAATAGGTATTGCAGCAACAAGTGGTGCACCCTGTGCAATGCATGGCCACATGGAAGGAACGAACTGCCAAGGTTTCCCCAGCCAGGTGACGGCGGGTACTACCACCAACGAGGTGGCCATGCCAGAATGGTGCAGTGCCCTACACACCGACAAACACACACAACCACAACCGCCAAAGTCGACAACAAAATACGGTTCTGCAAGTGTAAACGGTAATCCACTCACCAAGTGAGGGTTCGTGTTGCTGCTCCTCTGCGCTCGCCATCCCTCTCCCGATGGTTTCTGGATCTGCACTGACGCAGCTTGGTGAGGCTGCAGCACCACACACAATGTTAAGTACATTTCCAACTTATACGCAGGACAGTAGGTGCCCCAATGGATGCATGGTTTCCAGCCAGAGGCATTCAAGCCTTGGATTACTGGCCTTAGAATCAAGATTGCGATTGTACCCGACTTCCCGCGATGTTCCCTACAGCACCCAGCCACAATAGGCGGCACTCAGGCTTGCTGCACAGAGGTACACGTCCACCGCACCTACACGTCCCACCTGTCGAAGGCGCCCCTGCCTACTTTCCGTTTCAGCGTTGGTACCACCTGCAACACAGTTGGTGAGGGTCGCAGGCAAAATCCCGGAATAAAGTCAAACCCCGGCCATGATCTTCCCACCCGGCCATGTGCCACCAGGTTTCCAAAGTCCACACATAATCCGCCCCCCCCCGGGGAAGAATTTCCCAGTAAAGCAGGCGGCCAGAAGCAGAAGCCCACACTATGCCCACGTATCACTCGCCGGAATGCATCAGCCAACATCCAGGTTTTCAAAGTCCACAGATAATCCGAGAAACCCCTTACCCAACACCCCCCACGGCCCGGAATTTCCCGCCAACGCAGGCGGTACTGAGGGCGTTGCCCTGGCCAAAAAGCAGGATAGCGCGCTATGCCTGTGCATCACCGGCGGATTGCATCCGGCCACGCACAGGTTTTCAGCCAACAGATCATCCAAGGCCCCCCCAAACACCCCCAACACCCCCCACGGCCCGGAATTTCCCGCCAAAGCAGGCGGTACTGAGGGCGTTGCCACGACCGAAGCGAGGATGGCGCTATGCACGGCGCATCACCCGGCCAGTTGCATCGACCCGCGCCGCAGTTTTTCGACCAGCAGAGTCATCGAGGCCCAAACACCCCCAACACCCCCCACGGCCCGGAATTTCCCGCCAAAGCAGGCGGTACTGAGGGCGTTGCCCTGGCCAAAAAGCAGGATAGCGCGCTATGCCTGTGCATCACCGGCGGATTGCATCCGGCCACGCACAGGTTTTCGGCCAACAGATCATCTGAGACCCCCCTTCCCCTGCGCGGCCCAGCATTTCCCGCCAGGTCGGCGGTACTTAGGGCATTCCTCAGGCTTCTGGCTATGCTGCCCGTGCATGC